AGTAATGGAACTGAAGTATCTGTGAGGTTATTTGACCAACAGCTAATCACGTTAAAGAAATACCCAAGGAAGACCAGAACAACAAGAGGGGGAGGACCCCCAGTAACCACTGAATCACCTACTCCGAGCCTTCCAGAGAAGAAGGATTAGAGCTGGTGTGAAACCCTCTAAGACAAGTCAGCCAAAAAAACCTCTCTCCCTGGAAAGCTGAGCGAACTGAAAGGGGTTGTTGCCTAAAGCAGGGTAGGACTTATTATGGGAGGCATGGGGATGGAGCAGAGAAAATTTGAGGACCGTGTAAAATTTACTAGAGGACATTTTAAGCGGACTGTGGAAAGGTACAAAACTTACTATGGGATGTTTAGAGGAAAGATCAAAGGTGGGGAAAGGAAGGGAACAAGGTGGATCGGAAAGGAGCAAGTGTGTAAAAACAGAGGAAAGAGGGGACACAAAGGGCCAGCTGCATGTAAAGCAATTGCTGGTCAGTATTTTGATCCAATCCCCATACCTGATCACAGCAACATCACAGCTAAACTCTCTTCTTAACGAGCTGTGTGAATGTGCTCCCTGTTCCCCGTGTGGGCACGATCCACTAGCAAACTTCAAGTTCGCTGGTCCTAGCCGATGTCTGCCAGCCATGAGGTCGAGGGGCTTTTTGGTCTGGGTGCCAGCAACTGGAGGAGGTCAGGCTCTGAGGGACAGCTACCAGACAGACTGAATGTCCGTACCGTGAGCATGTGTTTGCGTGTGCATGTGTGTTTGCACCATCCCAGCGCTCAGACTCAGGATCTCAGGACCTGGCCTGTTTCTAGCAGACAAGGAAGGCAAATCCCTTGAATCCCAACATCTACATGGTCTCTGACAGCATCATTTCTATGCTAGCTCCTCCTTCAGCTTACATCGCCCTTACACCCTTTTTTTGCACTCTTCAGATGCCCTGCAGAAGAGTCCCTAGATGTGAAAGACCTTTTGCAGCTGCAGTGGATTGGCATCCAAGGGATTCCGAAATCCACTGGCTGTGCAACCTGCAGCCATCGGGAACCCAGAGGGTGGGAAACTGCCTGGCGCATGTGCCTACGCTCTAGGAAACTGGGCTGCTATTCTGTTTGTGGGTGTTACAACAGCTAGGGATACAAGCAATAGTGCACCAGTTGAAATGAATGCATGTCTCAATATTTTAGCCCTGATGAGCCTTACCTCTGTGTTGGTCCAGTCTAAAATGTGAGTGGACACTGGTGATCTAACTGGTGATCTAAAACAGAAAGCAAGGGCTACACAAGGTTGAGTGCAGTCTGCCATCCTAATTCTTCCTCGTGGCCTGTGTTACCTTCTGTACACTGAATGAGATTTAGATTTTCTGGATTCTTTCCCTAAATGTGCCACAAACTTTGTGACATCTTGACTGAAACACCTGCAGCCTGATACGAAGCTCACTGCAGCCAATGGAAATCCTTTTGTGTCAAACTTTTCCACATGCAAAATGAAGATAATAGCTCAGATTTATCTCATCGATAGTCTTACCTGTATAAACTTGTCAGAGATCATGAGGAGATAAGAATCACGGAGCTACAAATGCACAAATAAAATTAGTTATAGAGATGTGCATATTCATACTATCCTATAGAACCAATGAATCAAAAGCTGGGTAGAAGGGGACCAGCTTTCCTAAGAAAAAAAGGAAAAAAAAAAAAATCTGCTCAGGGAACAACTCACAGTAACTTTTCACACAAAAAAATTGCAGGACACCATTCCACCAATGTCCTTATCAAAAGAATGGGGAACTATCTATCCAAGTTTTCTATTGCAAAAAAAGCACCCAGTATAGCAGATCCACAAGGACACTGGAATGCAGCACTGAAGTCAAAATGAATAGCTTAATTACCTGCCATAATTTATTGGACATAGACAACTGGTTCCATGGATCTCCAAAATTAATTCATGATGACCTTGAAATGAAGAAACTGAGTGAAGGACTGTCAGACTTCCTTTTTTTTCCTCCACAGATAAATTTCCAAAAGTTTTCAGAATTCATTAAACATTTTTTCATGATAGAAGAGGAGATAGTCCATCTCAGAGCCTCCGGATGTCCTGATCTGATGCCCATCTGTTTAGGAGAGCACATGATCCATGTTCACACCCTTTTATCCCCCTTTGAGGATCACAATTAAACGACATAGGCTCACTATATAAAAGGTATTAAAAGACACTAGTGTTTCAGCCTAATTCACTTAGCTGTAAGTGTCTACTGCTTAGATCTCTGTTACCTGAGCTAGTCATCCTGGGTTAGCTTTGCAGCAGGTGGAAAGAAACAGGCACTTTATCTTTGTGGGGTATCACATCCTATAGCAAATATCTCGAATAGCTCAGATGAAAGCACATATTTCCTTCCATTAGCTGTAAAGACAGTCCAGTCTACTGAGTCCAGTGACTCAGTCAATGTCTACATTTGGTCTTCATGATGGATCCTATGCCGTTGCCCCAGCATTCACAGATGTCTCTGACGGACCTGGTAGCAAACTCACACCTCCCAGGACCCAGCTGTGTAATGTTAGTTCACTCCTAACTTCAGAAGAGAAAACAGTGCTGACTCCCATGACATTTCAAGATGCCGTACTTTCCTACTGAAACAAAGTCACTTCTCTTTTGAAATAGCTGGGAACCCAACAGGCAGAAAAATCCACAGAAGAAACAACATGACAGAGAGAAATCTTTTTAAAGAGATACCCATCTGCAAAATGAGTTCTGTAGGAGACCTAGTCCTTCTGAATACTTTTTTTCTCTAGTCTGTTGACTGAGAGGAATTTTAACTAGGGTCTCTGCATTTCAGAGCTTGGTAGTATAAGAAAATTGCCCAGGAAAGCACAGGGGCAGGGGAGTCACATCACTAAGGAGGTGGAAAGAAGCAGTGCCACTACTGCATTTTGTTGCGGTTTTCTGACCCTCTGTAAATACAGGCCAGTCAAAATACACAGGTAGATGATTGCTCTTCTACATTATCTTCCCTTGTGGATTCCTTATTCCAAAATAAAAGTTTCTATTCCTGAAAATTGATTCTCTTCTGGGAGCAAACTAAGTACCTGAAATGAAATAATTTTCACTCTGAAATAGGAGTATCCCCATAGTGATCTACTCCAGGATTGCTCCAGTGGGAGAACTGTTCTGCTCAGGTTCCCCATTCAGCCATTCTGTGCTGAAAAACCTCCCCCCTTTCAAATGAAAGCTGAATAGGATTCTCCGATTGCTGTCTAAACCTTGCTCTTTCCCCAGTGATTCTGCCAGCAAGGAAAACAGACAAATGGTCTGTGGTTACATTGGTCACACTTTTCATATTTTTGTACCTGTCCTCGTTCATATGCAGCCTTCTCAGAGATGCAGCATCCTTCTCATCTGTTAAAGATTTTCCCTTGATGCCAATGGAGCTTTAGCAATTTGCATCACTTATGGATCTGCCTCTTTGTATTTTGCATGGGTCAAAATAGTAGGAGAATAAGTCTGAAATTAGTCAGTATTTTTCCTGTGCTCAAGTGAGATGATAGTTTGAAAACTCCCCTGGCTGTGGGCTCAGTGAGATCTGAACAGTTGCCCTTGCAATGGATAAACATTTTCAAGGGAATCATCTCTCTGAGGGGATCCTTCCTCAAATTATTTCTGTCGATTCTTAATAGCTCAGACACATCACAGCACTTGCATAATAAGCCTTCTCTGACTTGAGCGTGTCACGTCCATGCAGGGATCAGCAGGCTCGTCCAGTCTGGGCTCCTGCATAATGATCATCTCCTGGAGAAGTTTCTTTAGTAAGTCCAGTATTCACAGCTGAGCTGCAGCATTGCCTGCAGAGAAGTATAAAATCTTGCTTTAAAGACTTCCATAGAAATGATCTAACACAGCCCCTAGCAAGGTGTTCCAGTAACTAAGCATTAAAAACATGTGCCTTATTTCTCCAAAATGCTTCTTGTGTAATGTTTGGCTGTATTGGGTACAGACCATGACCAAGGCACAAACAAATTAGCTTTACACCACTACATGGTGTTCTGACTTTCCCTACAGTAGTTTCCTCATACGAATATCAATTTTTCACTGAATCTCCTGTATCAGCATTCCTAGAATTGGCTTAGCTTTACATTTCTCTCCCAACCCCTTGCTATAAATAGCTAAGTCTCATATATCATTTAAGGGGAATAAAACATTACTCCTTGCATTCATTTCTTTGATTTTACAGCCTTGCTTGTATGTTAATCAAACGCATAAAGTGCTGAGGTGCATAGGTGCCAAGTAAAAGTCAATATTTTACCATGAACCTCATTTATCTACATTAGCCTGAAACAAGGTAGATCTGTAAATTTGGAAGTTATTGAATTTAATGACAAAGATCAATTACAACATCTTTGACACGACAGGGATTTGTCAGATTAGGGGGAAAAAGCATCACTTCTTCCTAAGGGAGCTTATAAATGCTGGCTGGGTGGGACTGTCCATCTCTTCTAGTGGACTGATGCATGCAAATGTTTAAATAATATTAGTTGTATTTGAAATACAGACCCACAGTTTAAAAGGAGTGTAAAACAGAGCTAAGTTATAGTGAGCTCTCTGAGGGATTGCTCAGCAGGATTGGCTGGAGTACAAGAAAAAAGAATTAGAAAGTATCTTCATGGAAGAGATCCACAATTTGGCTGCAAAACTGAAAGCAATTCTGAACTCAGGCTGCTTTTTTCTGTGTCCAGTACACAAATACCAACCAAACTGTTTTATGAGCACTGCGGTACTGCGGACTGTTAATCACAAAGCTCCCCGGAAGCACAAGCACTGCTTTTCTGAAGGAAGCTTGGGAAAACATGGACAATAACCTCCCCTGATGGTAACTGCCACATTTCACTGAAGTCAGCCTCTAGAGACGTATAACAAACACGTCCTACCCATCCTTCAGCCCTATGCCGTTTCTCCAGCATTGGGTAGGAAGCATTACTCTGTCCAATTTGCTAATGCACCATTCACCTGGTAAGATGATGGTGTTTGCCAGCAGCCACTTACAGCTTGGCCTGACTGGAATGCAGGTAATGTTTCCAAAGGAAAAAGGATTTTTTTCCCCCCATTGATTTTCCAGACCTCCATCCAAGGGTTGCTGGGTAGCATCACAGCCTTTGAACTTACCAGGAATTAAAAAAGTTCAACACGTCTCAGGATTGGCCATGTATCTCAATATGTTTTTCCAAATCCTGGAAGCCAAGGCTAACTGCATTCTTAATGCATATTTTTAGTTAGCAGATAGGCAGAGACTAGTTATTATGGATCAAGTCTTTAAACATGCAAATCCTGTAACCCTAATAGAACTTCATGAGACTGCTTACACAAGGAAGGGCTACAAGGTTGTATTCTGTACTTTCACTGGAAAGTCTTAAGTAACTATCCCTCAAAAAAGCAAGGTCCCTTGTTAAGAAAAGTACTTTCAGGTTGAATAAAACATTTTTTTTAAAGTTTGAGGGGTTCTAAAATGAACCCCTACAACACAGGTCACTTTGCCTTCCTTTACATTTATCTTATTAAACAGCCCAAACCACCCAACAACCAACTCAGCTTGAGATGGCCTAGAGCATGCAGCTCAGACGTTGATTCTTCTACATGGAGGAACCTCACTCAAAGTTTTTAAAAGTACTGCTGCTTCTCACCAACTCCTCATACATGAAGGCCTTGGATTCAGCCTCTCATCCCACATTTCAGCTTGCAAAGACAGCAGTACATGTATTGTGTAACATCGATCTATTAGCATGATAATGAGAGTAAGTGCTTCTCTCAGTCACATCTGCCCTTCCTGGAGGTATTCCAGCACACATGAATAGCAACCTCCGATCCTGAATCCAGGTGCACCTTGGCTCAAGCTGACACTGATCTCACTCCCATTGTATCTAGTGAGATGAAAGTGAACAAAAACCACTTGGCCAGTTTTGAAATGCAACAGGAGCTTCTGGAGATTTGGGTTAGCTCCACTAAGAGAGCAGCCGTCTGCAGTCATGAGTGAAGACAGAAAAAACAGTAGCAGGAGGGATGTCAGCAAAGCTGAGGATTCAAATCACAGCCAAATGACCATGCAGAGAGGTTCTCCATTCTGTCTGGGGAAGCAAAAAATAGTCAGGTATGATGAAGAGTTACTACAGTTTCTAAAAGCAGGAATTAACAACCCATGCGGTTAACTACTAACTCTACATTGACAAGGCTTAGTCCACTCCACACGCAGCAAGCCAGCAAGCTGGCATGTGTCAGTTGAGACATACAGCTGTCATGGTCTATGTGACTGCATGCTGTAAAGTGAAACACAGGGAGGTTATCTTCTCATCTGGGACAGAACGAGCTCAGAAATGGTCAGCTATGTTGTCTCAATGTCAAGCTGTACCAGACCAAGACAGGCAAAGTCAACCACCTGCAGTCCTGTGAACAAACTCTCAAGATCAGTTCACACCCCACCTTCAAGTAGCTGCACATTCCTCCCACCTTCTCCCAGCTCCAACAGTGAACACAGTCATCCTGGTGTAGAATTTCTTATTCATTCTTTTCTTTTCAGACCTGTAAGAAAAACATGGGCAATTTTGCCCACTGAATAGCAACACCAACAGCACACAAGATGGAAACCCCCTGCTCCTAGAGAAGCAGTTTTCTTCACTGAGAAAGAGCCATGCTGTGCCTGTCTTTGATGTATCTAAGGATCTCAGGCATCTAAGAATTGCTGGCTCTTGTGAATACTCCTATCGGGGGAGCATCATGGCCTTGTCTTCATCAGAAGTTGAGTAACGGCATTTAATGAGCTGTACATGACAGGACAGTGCAAACAACTAAGGGTGAGGAGCCTTGGTATGCGCTGCAGACCAACAAGTGACAGGACAACACCACCTGAAGCTGCAGTGTCACATTGTCCGGTGTTTCTTTTACCCACTGACATGTTTTATTCACAATGTGTCCAGTTAGCAGAGATCTAATATCGAATCTGTATAAACTATTCCAGCTTATTTTGCCCAAAACCATTTGGGGAATGCTTAGCAGGCAACCTAAAGAAGCAAAAAGCTTTAACAGGAGGAGTGATGAACATCTACGGTTGGGCAGAAGACATAACCTATGGAGCTAGCACAACTGGACATAGAAAACTATGTTTGGACAATAGCTTTGGTGTCATCCATCAAAAAAGTCCAGAGAATGATGTCTTGCTTATGCTATAAATCAATCCAAACTTTTTCCTTAAGCAGTTGTATGCTAGTTTCTTTTACATTCAGGAAGGAGGCAAAGCAACTTTAGATGAAATAGAATTAAACTGATGTTAGTAAGTTTGGGGAAGCCAGACTTGGCTGTTTGAAGTGTTTAAGAAAAGCCGTGCTTGGAGAGACACTCAGACAGTGTAGGTCTCAAATGGGGTTGTGTAACTTAGAGGATTTTACATAACCAAATAGAAATGTCTTCAAAAAATCCTTACATAGTGATCTACAAAAAGATAATTTTGCTGTGAAGTTGATTTTAAATTCTAAATGCAGATGGCAAATTAAGCACTGGGATAGAATACCCAGAAAACGTTGGTTTGTAACACAGACCTTGGGGTGGGAAGGGGGACACGTATCTCTGTGTGTGTGTGTGGCAAGAGGGGGACTGACGCTTCTTGGGATTAGCTGCAGAAAGGTGTCTGAAACTTTACTGACATTCCATAAGGGTCTAGCACTATGGTTTATCTGTTGCATTACTAGTTTGATCCTGAATGTACAGTTCACTGGTTACCAGTTAATTACATGTCATTACTACATTTATAAACTGTTTCATCCCGATTATGGTTTAAACTGAACAGAGCAATTTTTCCCCTGAGATACAGTCAGAGCCAGTCTCAACTTCTGACATGAACAGTTTGGTTTTAATAGGCCAAACCCTGGTATTTTATCACCATCTGCTGGAGATAAAGTGTCATTCACTTAAAAAATGTAAATTCAGCCTCAGCCCTAAAATTTTGACTTCATGGACAAAATAATCCTGGCCATAAAGATTCAAAGATCTTAAAGGCAGCAAGGACGTGCGAGACCCCCGTGGAACTCAGGTCCCAAAGAGTCATCTGAGGAACAGACAGAAATTACATGATCTCCTACATTCTCCTACAATTAATCTGTTCTGTCATTCCTAAATCTTTCACTGAACCATAGTCAGGTGCTGACAGATACTGCTGTCATGACAAAGGCTTCAAGGTTGTTGGTAAGTGAAATAAAATTCACAGCACAGACACCAATTTCCTCTCTATCACTGGAAAATAAAAGATCCCACAAGGGCAGTAAGCCAGCCATTTTTTCACCACTATAAGGTCGGTGATCATCTCTTTCAGTTGCCCAGAGAGTCTTAAAACTTTCTCAAACCTCAAAAAAGCAGCACTACTAAAAAGTAAACTATATTCTCCCTCCTTCCCACCCCTTGCTGCAACCTAATGCCCTTATGGCTTCCCTCAGTCCCACTCTTCCTTCTTTCCTCTCTTGTACCTCCTATCACACCTAAACACCAGCACTGAGACCTGCAGAAATGATTGGATTTATCCCACTTAAATTTCAGTGTAACTGCGGCTCTCAGTTAGAAGGCTGTACCGCCAAGATGTCTTCTGTAGTTTACTGGCAACCAAGATGCTCTTCCAGAGAACAATTTCTGTCTTAGAAGAGCCAGTATTTAGAAAGAACAGAAAGAAACCATGTTTTTAATTTAGGTACTTCCTTCGGGTTGTTAAGTTAGATGAGAAGGCCTCGGTACTCCCTTCTTGGCTTGGTGCTTAACCTAGAGGCAGCTACAGAGGAACCTCTGCAGCCTCCAGTGAGACCTGTTCAGCATGGATGGAGTCTGTGGAGATATCCAAATTTCCCCTAAGCATGTACAAACTGGGATTCTTCAAATATTTCTTACATAGATACAGGTGAGCTTATTTTCTCAGCATCATTTCTGACTCAAGGCTACCAGCCACCAAATTGCAAGTCCCTCCTTTAAAACATGAGGGAATTAGGGCTTCTGAAAGAACAGGTCATCCAATTTTTTAATTTTTTTTCTTTTAGCTGGAGCAAAACTATGTGGGTTTTGGCCCATGTCTTGGAAACAAATGAAATATTCTGGATGAAACTTTCACATGTAAAAAAAAATAACCTAAGGCAGGCACTCAGTGAAAAAAACTTTAGTCCTAACAGTTAAAGTGTGGAAAAGTTGAGAAGCAGCCAAGGAAAGGTTATGATAATGGCAAATTATAATGCAAATTAAAACCTTTTAATATAAAACAGTGCCACCAATTGCACCTGTGTTCACTGTCTCTGGATTTTGATTGCTTTACACAGTTATTTGAACAGACCCAAAAGAACATAGCTAGTCTGCAGCTAAGTTGGGCACTTTGGCTCTTTTTTCCAGTCTCCAAGTAAATACTCAACCTCCACAGATTTATCTGGTAATTTTTCCTGATCACTATTTCTGTAAACAAAATGTTCACTGGCCCCTAAAGGGTGAAGATTAATACCCCTTGGTCAACAGCACTGAGGAAAGCAGCAACACAACAAATACAGGCCACTGCCCAGCAGAAAGACAATTAAAATCTCTTTCTGAAATGACCTTAGAGTCACTGACCCCGAACCATTCAATGTCGCATTCCTGCGTGCTCCATTTAGCCTTGTTCCTCCTCTATCCCATGAGGCAGCTCCTTCTTCACCGTTACATAACTGCATCCTTCCTATCACATATTTTCATTACCCCAAATGCCCTCAGCCCCGTTACCTCCTGGCACCAGGGTGTCTCTACGCCACCTCACCCGAGCTCTCAAGAAGCAGAGCTCTGAGATACATCAGCTGCATCGAGGAATCAATTCTTGAAACATCGCAAGCCTGTTAAGTCAGGGGAACAGGTGAAGAGTCCATTCTTCAATAACATCTGACCTCACGTGGCCATCAAAGGCAGCTTTACTACCTTCCTGAAACGGGAGAGACACCCAGCTGTGGGCAGATCTGGCTAGTGCCTATCTGACAGCTAGAACTGGCTACAGGGCTGACTGCTCCTCTGCGGTGAATCTGGGGGAAAATGACCATGGGCAGCTTGCTCAGCCTAGATCCGGTAGATAAATAGTCGGGCAGTTGCAGCTGCCTGAAGCACTGTGAACACTAAGAAGAAATTCTCCCCGGTTCCCTCCTCACTTGTAGAGCAGCAGAGGGGAAAAAATCTCTGTCCTCGGAAAAGCAGGTGCAAGGCCCCAACTTCCTTGTGATCAAGAAATGACAAGAACGATCAAAAATATGCAACAACTTCTGCACAATAAATTACTACATAGGCTAGGACTCCTCTGGTTGGAAAACATGCGAGTGAAAAGGGGTGTGACATAGGTTCACGAACTCATTAATGGCCTGGAGACTAGACTGACAGCAGAAAAATACACTGGCAAACCAAGAAAAAAAGGTATTCAGAGAAGGAGGAAAGGAGACCTACAAAAAAACCTACCACACCAGGCTTTTACAAGCTATTGTTGCTTTTGCAACTGTGACTAATTTGGAAAGACCAACCTCAAAGTACAAGAAAATTACTCTTTATTCAGGAAAAAAGTTACTTTTCACAGCTCTTGCTCATCCAGCATCCACACCTCACTGCACCCACATTCAGATACCTGTAGACGCTACTGGTCTGTGTGTTCAGACAGGATCCCAGTACGTATTCTGGCACACCACCCACCATTGTACGGGTGAAGTTTTGTATAGGTCTGGACTCAACCTGCTTGGGGTTTCTTCCTCTTACTCATGCCTTTGCCTCACCCAGGAACAATTACCTTCTTCTCAGAGGTTCTCTACACATAACTGTTTCCTGTGTTGTGCCGCTATCTGTTAATATGGAATGGGAAATACCTTCACTTATGGCACACAGGGAACACGCCTGCTCTGTATGACCTTTTTTTTACCTAAATGGCACTAAGCCATGGATCTTAGTAGAGGTTCAAGTGGAGAGCAAAGTACATTCTAGGGCAACATCACAGCCGGGCTGAGATTAGCTTTTGGCAGGGGGAGCAGCAACAGCTCTGCTGCTGTCCTTGCATGGAAAGCTCAACAAGTTTTAGGCAAATACTAAAGAATTACGTTTAAATTAAAAAAAAATAAAACCCATGCCTCAGCAAGAGTGCATGAGAGCCCTGATGAGATCCGGCCTGCACGATGGGGTTGCCCTGCACCTTTTAGACATGGTGTAATCTCAGAGGTCTGTAGCAAATTGGCATTGTGAGATGAGCTCTTGCCTAATTAGCAGATTTCTCGTTGTGCCTCAGTGACTGCACTGCAGAGCCTGGCCACCCTCCACTAATTTGCAACATCTCAAGCTTTAAAACACTTTCTTTCATTCCAGTTCATCAGGGCCAGCTGGAAAAGCACCTGCCAAGTGGAGGACTCACTTGTAAAGGTTCACATCCAAAATGAGGCCTGGGACTTGGGCAGTTCTGCACTACTGCCTCAACACTTCTCATACCTGGGCTTCTTACTAAATCCAAGAGGTGAATCAGACAGAAACACTTATTCCATTATGCCCATACAAATGACAGTGGGCTAGCACCAGGATTTTTAATAGATCTTGCTTTCATAATTCCCACACATAAACACATTGCAAGGCACAGGTTGGTTACTCCATCTGGTAGCAGGCACGAGGGTCTTTATTTTGTATTTTTTTAAGTTTTCAGTATTTGGAAAGGCAGTGCCACCTAACAACTCTACTACTACAAAGTGGGCAACAAAAGCAACCCTGGGACCTTCCCCAGTGACAGGTCTCTACCGTGAACCACAGGTGCAGTGCCCTGGGCCTGGCAAGGCTGTGGTGGATGGCTGAGGACCCTGCCCAACAGCAGAATCTGTCCACCAGAGCTGAGCCTGGCTGCTATCTTTGAGGTAGTCCATGCATGGTTGATTAACTCGTTGATTAATGGACAAAGTTTTAAAGAATTACATTGTATAAATGGATTGTTACTTTCCATTTTATTTCTTTTCTGATCTTCCTGAGTGACTAGGTCATTGCCGACCATAATCATGTGGGAGCTCTGGGCTTCTGTATCTGCTTAATTAATCCTGTTCAGAAAAGACATTGCATAAACCTGAACTACAGACTGTATTTTCCCTTAGAGGAAGTCCTCATCAATGTCTCCCTGTTAATTCTCTCCCGGTTCATTAATCTTGTTCTCTGTTGTATGTTGTGACCCAGCTACCACAGGAGGGACGTCGAGAATCATACAGAATCGCTTTGTGATAGGTTGCCGCCTTGGGGAATCAGAGTAATGGGTTCAAACCACCCGAGACTAAGGAGAGCCTAGAAACCGTATCTCCTATTTCTGAACAAGCGTGCTCCCCTGCAGGCTGCTGGACTGGCTGTCTTGCCTTCCGTCCTTCCTTCCCTTACTCAGTCACACCACCCCTCAGTAGGATGTTCAACCCGAGAAGTGCCCTCAGCATGTTGAATCCCAGACAAATAAAGGCATTACTACTATATAGGGCACACTCATCCCTGCACATGGGTGTTTCTGGTCATGGGCTCCAGGCAGAGCACCAAATCCTCCTGGAAAGGCTGACCTTGTGCAATCATTAAAGAGTCGTGGGAATGCCAGCAGAGTCCGTCACCTCTCCGCGTAGCCTAAGGAGCTTGGAGATCAGCCGAGGGCTTTGGATTCCTGATCTCTGACCCTTCTGTTCATGCGTTAGTCGGTACCCCGAAACGGCACCGAAGATCAGTTTTCAGAGTACGTAAACGCGGTGCGTGCTCTTCTTCCTCTCCGGTGTGAGCCTCCAGCACCTGAGCGGCGTCCGCGAGGGCAAACTTGGGTTTCTTGGTGACGCACCGCCATGTCCTGTGACAGCAGCTCTCTCTCGAGATACTTGGTGTGCGACAGCGCGTTTAATCAGGCAGTTTTCCTGACTGACTTTTCCATTCTTTCTCTTTTATTTTCGAGTGCAGACTGTATTTGCTCCCAGTTGCTTTGGCCAGTTCTGTCTGGCATTGCACACTTTGCACCTAGGCCTTTTACTTCCGTAGCAAGACTGACTTTAATTTCTAGGTACGGAAAACGCCAAATTGCCTCAGCCCTTCCGTACTCGGAGAAAACGCGTCATGTTTTAACCCCGACAAGAGAGGGAAGGACGTCAGCCTTGGCGGTGTGACGCCATCTCCGCCTCCCCCCCCCGTTCCGTTCCCTGGGCGCAGTGACGCGAACTACATCTCCCGTCATGCCCCGCTACGCCCCTGCGCAGCGCCCCTCCCCGCGCGTTGCACCACGGGAGTTGTAGTCCCTTCGCGCCTCTCCCTCCCCGCCGGGCTGCGCTCCGGAAGTGGCTCT